GAATGTTGTGTAGACATTTTGCTAAAAAATAAATATAATAAAAATAAATAAATTCTAATTCCGGAAATATATAAATAACAGATTGAAAAAAAAGTCTCTATAGCTAACTTCTGAATTACTCCACCTTTTTCCAAATTACTTTGGTAATATATTGAATAAAATGTAAGGTATTAGAATATCCTGTTTATATTGTCAGCGAATTGATTTCTGTGGCAGCGAATTCACCCGAAGTCAGATGACAGGTCATTTGTATATGATTTATATGTTGTGAAACTAATGCTGATCATTTCGTAAAATTGAATACCCGCTATGTTCCAGAGAATATGGTACATTAGAACATAAAATTGCCTCACTTAAAAAAAAAAAATTTTATAATAAAAAAATTTTTTTTTCCTCTCAGGTTTATTAAATGCATTTGAATATTTTATCATTGTGTACTGTTTATAAAAACAAGAGAGGGTGTGTGTAAGAAACATAATTCAAGTTAAGGATGTTAAAAATCAATTTCAGCAAGCAATTTCAGATTTACAATATTCTTTATATCAATAGACATAAAAAAGCTACTCAGAATTTTGGCTATTGAGTTAAAGTGTTCAAATAATTTCAGATATAATTTCGACAACTAATAAAGTTGATTTTGGTAACTATGAAAAACTATTTTGGCATTTTGGATTCAGCAATGATCATTTATTAAGAGAGGCAATTTCAGGTAACATGCTTAATTCAAGTCAGTATGATTTACAATGTTTGAATTTTGCTATATTTCTGACACCCAAATCTCTATTTCCAATATATAAAAGTCTTCAAGGAACACTATAAATTCTTTGGTTTTTTAATATAATATTCCATATGTGGAAAAATATAAACAAAATTTTTGACATTTTTGCCCTGCTGATCTCATTCAAAATTCACTCATTTATTCATGGATCATCTTTTTTGTTAAGAATCTCTTATAAATAAATACCTAAAACATACAGGTTATACTCCACAGTTTGTTTCCAATAAGATATTTTATATAAATAAAAACATATATACGAAATAAAAATATTAATAAACATATACCTTTCTTTAGAATCAACCAAAATGATGACATGATGAACTCTTGATTGCTTTCAAAAAAAATTTTTTTTAAATTGCATCAACAAAAAAAAAATAATAATCCATATCCATTTGTTGTATATATGCAACAAATACACTGCAATAATTAGTTGTTTTTTGTCAATCAAATAATAAACTTTATACAAAATGATCAGAATCAAAAACACAAAAAGAAGACTACAAAATCCCTAACAAAAGGAATGAGTAAGTATTATTATTTTTTATTTATTAAAAAAATAGGATGGATAATGGTAGTTGTGGTCATTGAATAACAACAAAAATAAATATTTTATTTACATGTTGTTTTGTCAAAAAATAAACAGATCAAAAGATCAAACAAGAATCAAACAATTTGTTCAATTGAAAAACCAAAAATAAGTAAGTACTATTAGAGAAGTTTATGGCTATTCTTGTTTTATTAGAAGAATGATAATTAATATTATATTATATTCTACATTGTTGTCATCCTCCTCCTAATTTTTGTAGTGTCATCACACAATCTACTATAAAACCTACTATTAGCAAAAATTTTTTAAGTTTACCTAATGAGCTTATTCTCATGATAGCATAATTACCCTGGGTAGAAGAATTACAATGAGATTAAATATATTAATGAATAGCGACGCAATTTGGAAAAAAAATTCAATGATGATTAAAGATGGCTTCTCAATTAATTGCAGAATATAAAAATTGAATTGCGACTAATTGTGGTTCCCATCTTTAATGATGATGAATATGTGCTCAATAAACATGATATGGCCTTGAGTACGTACATTAAAAAATACAAAAGTCATTTCATTATGAGAAACTATGATGCAATTGCATCTTTGCCATCAGCAGAGTTACAAAAAAATTTTATTATATGAAAATCATTAGTGTGATTTTTATTTATTTTGTTATGAATATTACTATTATTTAATTAAGTAAAAATAGAAATTAATGAGAATATGTTACAAAAAATAGTTATGGAATGACTTAGATGGTAGAATAAAGTTTGAATCCAATTTATACTGTGAATAATGTAATCATTTTTATTTGATTTTGTTTAATCGTTTTATTTGTTTATTTAGATCACATATCTAAAATATTTTTTGTTTAATAATATAAAATAGAAATAAAAGTTAAAAGACTTGTTTCTAATATTTATTCCTAATTAAATATTTGATAAAATTAACAATATTTTCACAACAACAAACCAATATCTTTTTATCAAAAAAAAAAAATTTATTAATTTAATAATGGAGGCATTTACAATGTCAAATATTATATTACACCAGCTGAAGATTATTTTGCTCTTTATTTGTAAATTTAGCAGGATAGGTTAGGATCTTGATTAATAAAAAATATTCATAATTATTGCGAGTGATATAGCAGAAGTGCTTATACTAATTTTCACTGGTTTTTGTTACGGTATTCCCCATATATAAAAAATTTCTCATTGTGTAAACATAAATGCAAATAAACGTAATTGTTTTTCAATCAACGTGCATAATAAATTAAATTTCGTTAGAATCAATAATAAATAAATAAAATTAAGTTATTGATTTGGGATTACTGGGTTGAACTCTGGACTATAAAATTTCTAGAATACTGAGTCGGGTTATTTCTTATTGTTGTCAAAATCAGGCGGGTTCCATGTTTGATATTCATAATCAAAGAATTGTGCAAGGATCCAAAAAATCGAAATTAAAAAAAATTATTTATTTATTACCATTCCTAATTAATACAACCATTTAAATAATTAAAAAACCTGTTTCAACCTGTTTTAAAATATTTAAAAATTTTGACCTAGGACCACTAATTGCTACTGATTACATAAAACATTTACCTTGTGTTTTATATATGAGAGTTGATTTACCATAGTAAATAATAATAAATAATAAATAAGGAAATACTTTATTATGTCACAATTTCATAATTGGCATTCTTTTGGAATCATATTCGCACATTAATTTCCAAGATTTATTGAGCATAGTATAGGTTAACTCCGAGTATTTGTCAAAAAATCATGGAAAAATTATGAACGCATGCACACACGAAATTTCTATTTATGCACTCTTGTCATATCTCGATAAATAACGCGGATAATCGATCACTCATTCATTTATTAGTTAATCAATCAAATATGTTATACATACATTTTTTATAAATCGATTACGACTTTCCAGTTTTGTTTATTCGAAAAAAAATTTGGCATTTTTAAATTATCATAAAGTGATTGTAACATTAAACAAAAAGCCCATTTTTGAATTTCCATTTTAAGACATTATTTATTATTTTTGTATAGTAGATAAATATTTTCCCATTTTTTCATTTCAATATATATATATGCATATAAACGTAGGGTTTACTCAATTTGCATTTCATGATTTCATGAATCGATAAATCTCCTATCCATCCAAAGATTTCAAAGGCTATGTAACACTCGATTATTATTTGAACTAACTAAATTCAAGTTTCCGAGAAACGTAGTATGGGGAAATTAAAAACAATTAATGTTTTTCAAAAAAACGTTGAAAAAATGGCAATTGTCAATGTAGAAAAAGTTTTTTTTTATATATTGTCGTCATATTATAATAATATTATTACATTCGTTATAACAATAATGACGACAACGATGAATTGAATTACAATCACAAAATCTCCGAAAATATTACCAATATAATTTAAAAAAAGTATTAAAAAAAATTGCAACGTTGACACAACATATATTAGATAAGCGATTGTTTCCAATTTCAAACAATAAAAGCATTGATAATTAAAAAAAACGCCAAATTTATTTTTAAAAACAAAATAGAACATGGTTTAGTAGTTTATAATCAATTTAAAAAAACCAAATGGAATTTTTAAAATAAATGCGATGATAGATTGATTGTAAATGCGCACATTATAAATAATGAGAAAAAATTAATGGGGAAAAAAAAATATCGACAAAGAACAAATATTTTTCGATGTGAATGTATGTATAAATATTAATGCAATGTGTATAATAATAAATACACGATAAATAAAACATGGGCGTTTTTTCCATGAATAATTTCGTGCACATATTCACGTACCAAAAAATTTTTTGTTGATCTATAACAGATTACAATGTCGATTAATAATATGATGACGACGATATTACGTGTAAATGCTCTACATTTAATGCACTATAATATAATGGCAGTGATAGGCCATTCCAATTACCAATTTCTGCTAAACTCTTGGTTATTCGGTCACTAATAATGTTAAAAAATAAAATCATCATAATCGTCATCATCAACATTATTATTTATTATATAATATATATATATATAAAAAAAAATTTCCTTTCAAAATGTTTAATTGATAAAATGTTTAATAAAAAAAATTTTTTTTTATTAAATTGTTTGAACTATATTATTAATAATATATATATGTAGCATATATACATGCACTATAAATATTACGTATTTCTTCTATTAATTATTTTTTGACCTTTTAACAAAAAAATATCAACACTATAACAACAATCAAAGATACGAAATAAGTTTTTTATTTTTTCACGTTTTTAATTAATTGATAACCTTTTTTGTAAATAAATTTAATTGCATACACATTAATAAGCTCTATTTAACGAAGTAATTCTCATCAAAGAAAAATAATTTATTTTTCAAAAAAAAAATTTATATTTTTTTTTTTCAGAAAAATAGGTTTATACGATTTTTTTTATATTAAATATAAATTGGGTAAATCCGATTTATCATTTTTAATGATTCAGATTATTTATTTTCTTTAAAAAAAAAAAAAATCATAAACAAAAAAAAATTTGTTACGATCAAACTCTAGGGGTTATAAATCCTTTTTCCTATCATTTATTATTCTTTTCTTTGGATCACATAAATAATAAATAAATTAATAAATTGACAATTCTTTTAAAAATGGCAAGTAATGTTCCTAAAAGATTTTTACCACCAATAACAGCTCTCGAAATTCCACATTCTAATTCTACACTAATATCACACTCACATCATGCATTACCGTCATTGCCATCACCGCCACTGCCGTTTACTCCTCACCATCAACGTCATCATTCAACTATTTTACCTCCTGTATCTTCATTTACTTCTTTAATGACGCCCAGATTAAATACTTCATCTTCATTGTCTCCAACATCTCCTTCTTCTTTATTGTTTTCATCGTCAGATTCATCACCATCATTATCGTCACAACATCTACTGAAAAATAATAATAATACTACAATACCTACCTCGAAAAATGGTTGCTATCACTATCATTCAGAAACAATTCCTCCCTCTTCTTATTATCATGGTGACAACAACAGCGGCAGCAGCAGCAACAACAGCAACAGCAACAACAATAATAACATCGATCATCATCAATCAATGCAAATTGATTATTCATATCATCATCAGCGTCCACCACCTCAGACTCCACAGTCACCATCGCATTATCATCACCATAATCAACATAATGTATCGCAACTTCATCAAGCACCATTATCACCATTATCACCAATGATTACTACTAACAACAATAATGTTTCTCCGTTGCATTATCATCCATATGCAGCTACTTACAATAATAATAATCATAATAATAATCATCATTATCATTCGTCATCAGCAGCGGTAGGAGATGGTGGAGGTGGTGGATCGATTCCGCAACCATCACTATCACAACAACAAATGATGATGATGATGGATCCAGCATGTGAATTGTTGGCAGAGAAAAGACGTAGAAACGCTGGTGCATCTGCTAGATTCCGTGATCGTCGCAAGCAACGTGAACGTGAAATGCAAGAAAAATGTCAATTTTTGGAGAAGCGTGTGCAGGAGCTGGAAAATATGGATAATGCCAAACGAATTGTTGAATTGGAAAAAAATTTGGGGGAAGCGATCAATGAAAAAGAATCTGATAAATCAAGAATCCGGGAACTAGAAAAAGAGGTAATTATTTATGATCACGCGATTGTTGTTATTTTTAAAACCACATGTAAAATATATAAAATATATAAATTTAATATTATTGATTAATTGTGATATTAGGTTGAAAGACTTTCTTCAAAATTGTGTGATAGTGAATACGTGGAATCTCTTACACCGCCATGTTCATCTTCCGGTGATTATGATTCAAAAGATAGCGTATTTGAGGAATCAATGATTGCAGCAGTGACTAAAAAAACATCATCAGAAGCCTCCACAACAAATTCTTTGGCTACTCCAACTACTCCAGAAACTGGCTCACCTATTCCATCAACAAAACCTTCCAATTCTAGCGAGGATAACGACGATAATAAATTTCAACTGAACATTTCAAACAAGTTTACTGGTGTTAAGGCACTTCTATTCACATGATTTATAAATTTATTTTATTAATTAGTAACATAATTAGTAATCTTATTTCTTCCTTAGAGAGAATATATATATATATATATATAAATATATTATTATACAATATTTTTTTATAAGGTATATTGTATATCTTTTTTTTCATATCTTTTTTTCTTATATCTTTTTTTCTTATTATTATTTTTTTTTTTTAAATTTTAAAAATTGGAAATTTATACAAATAATAATTATCTAATAAGGAATACACGCATTAACCTACGATAAATTATATAGTTTAAAGTTTGGTTGTCGGTTAGTAATAACCAATATAATATAAATTATATGATTTTATACTTTATTTTTTTTAAAATATATGTTAATTAATAGTAGTAATATATGACTTTATGATAGTAATTGATTTTATTTTAATTAAGGTTTTATTAAATAAATAATAAAATTAATGGTTTTTTTTTTTTACATTATATGAGTATTATGAATTCTGTAAAATCACTAAACCATGTTTTTTTTTTATGTTCAAATGAAAGGTTGATAAAGAAATCAAATCATTGTTTTTAATGACTGATTTAATAAGTGGAACATCATATAATGAATGATCAGTTATCTCCCTGACCAGGATAGACACCCATAAGATCTTTTTGATATTGAGAGTGCTTTGAATACCAAGCATAAATTGACTGGTGTCGTCGATAGATACAAATTTTTGAGAAGGGCGGGTAAAAATCTGGATGCTTATTTTATAGGGAAAAGACACACAGAAATGTATTAGTATGGAAATCACTCTGGAAACATACTAATAATAATGCGGGGAATTGCGAAAAATGTAATTCCGTTTTTCAGTATTAGTATTAGTATGTTTTCAATGGAGAATGTATATTAATACATGTTTTACTATAGATTTTTTGTATTAATTAGTATATTTTCAGTATAAAAATGCACGGGAAGGCGCTTTGTACAGGAATATTCCAACACTGTTTGGTAGATCAGGGCCTTTTGCCTGGATACGGCATGGAGCGAAAGGTATACCAATCAGGTTTTTTTTGTAAAATGACCGCTATATGCTTTTTAAAAGTTTAAGCGTGTACAACGCACATTTAAAAATGGTTAATTTTTAATCTATCTGCACCTGTCATAAAATTTCTCCCTAATACACACAGAAATCAATTGTTTAAAGTACTCGATAACATAAATAAATGTCCGACTTACCAAGTTTATATGTGTTTACGGGAGTATTTCAATAGAAAGGGAGGGAGGGACCATACTCTAAAAATGATGTCATGAGAATTAAAAAAAATAGAAATTAAAAAATTTTTTAAAAAAGGAATTTTTTTGCAAGTAGAGTTTCTAACTGTAGTCCATGAATTTCAAATATTTTGAATTGCAATTATCTCAAATACTGAAACACTTGTTTATTTCGAATATTCAAACACTTGTATATTGATTTCAACCACTTGTGTTTATTTCAAATATTCATTAATTAACAAATTATAGTATACCTACTAAATTATATTTACTATAAAAGAAAAAAAATAATATTCCATTTGGTTATGAGAAGACACTCTTATTTGAACTTGATATGTTCTTATACTTCCATCGTCACCAAATGAAGCCCTTACAAGCCATCTTTTTTCTTATCATGGGTTTTTTTGGCTGGTGGTGGTTGATGAATTATTTGGTGGTAATGGCAAAATAGATAAAAAAAGGTTCTAATTGATTGTTAGATATCCTGCATATTCTTCACAAACATGAGTTGGCTCATCTTCTAATGTCAAATTGGTTAAACCACTCATATTTGAAAATTAAGTAATTAAAATTATTCACAAATTATTGTGAATATTCAAAATAAATTCAAGTATCTGAAATAATTACGAATATATGAATATCTGAAATAGTTACAAAATAAACTGTATATATTCAAATATCCTTTCTATTTCAAAGGTTGTACAAATTAAATATTTAATTTCTGGGGATAACTAATCTTTAGTTTTTGTATTTATTCGGAATTATCGTACATTATCCGAATATCATTCATGTGACTGATATTCGAATATGGTGTATATGGCGCAAGTCACCTAGTACCGCAACTTGCTGCGCCTCGTGGCCAATTTTGGGAAAAAAATCAAAACTCAGAATTGTAAGTTATGCTCAAAAATGCAATAAAATCTTTATATCACGTGACCTTTAATGGTGATACAAATTAAAAAAAATATTTATATTAATAATATATATAATGTTATAACATTGCTAAAAAAAAATTTCCTTCTTCATGTGAAGAAGCCAATGC